CATCATAAATTATGGGATGTGGATTGTTATGAATTTATAAAGCATCATTAAATAAGAGAAACTCTTTACCTCATTTGTCTACACTGGGAAGGAGACTAGTAACTGTAAATATCTGATGACTAAAGATATATTAATAGTTAGTTGCTAATAAATTACACATGGGTAATAGTGATGGATATTTATTGGTAGTACCTATAAACAACAATGTCAATATATAAAGTTAATGTCTAGTCATTCCACATTAAGAAAATATTAAAATCCTTTACATGCATACATAATGCACATATAGTTTTCATGTCTCTTCCCAGAATCTTTCTCTTTATTTTCTTAGTTTATTAATATTTTTACTCTCTCCTGTGAACTCTCTGGTAACTTATGCCAAGTTGGTGTCTCTATCTGCACCTATATGATTATTGCTGAAAATTCTTATTCTGACTGTGCTGTTGTACACAGTTTATAAGTTTATAAGAAAAGACTATATACAAAAACAAGTTAGTGTGTAAAAGGATCTGACTGAAATTACAAAAATTGTTATTTAGATAATACACTCCTCTAACCTCTGCAGGAGCGGGGGCAAGAATAGAGATAAAAGCCCACAGGTCATATGTCTAATTATATGACTTGTATATCAAGTTAAGACTATGACAGCATTTCTTCTAAGGGCCAAGTTGCTCTACATTTTTTCTGATCCAAGAGCTGATTCTTTAATTTTTCTCATCTTCACTTCCACACTCCCCTACCAAACACTGGTAAGTTCTTTGGAAAACTATGTACACACACGTATACTCACATGTACACACACACACACACACTAAACATACGAGCTCAACCAGTTCTGATCCTCTGATTTAGGGGCAAGTTCAGTTTAAGATCTCTCTCTCTCATGAGATTTGTTTGTGCAGTTGTTCACTGAACTTCCAAAACACTCGTGTAAGACCAAAATTTAAAAAAAAAAATCGTATTTCTGTTTGTGATCAGGTGAGTCTTCTAAATACACTATTTTCTTTTTATGAGAGAAACAAAAACATGACAAGATTTGTAACAATAAAATATTAAATATACATATGCAACATTTAAGATGATTATACAAATGTGGAAGATAATATAGAGGTATACAGTGTTTTACAGGCACAAAAATTATTATTTTTTAAATGTTTTTACTTTATATTGATTTTAGAGAGAGGGGAAGGGAGAGGGAAAGAAAGAGAGAAACACTGATGTGAGAGAGACACCCTTCTGGGGATTGCACCTGCAACCCGGGCATGTGTCCTGACTAGCAATGAAACTGGTGACCTTTTGGTGCATGGGATGACACTCCACCAACTGAGCCACACTGGCCAGAGCCTGGCACAGAAATTATAAAAGCATCACATTGGAAAAGATGGCTTTATCAAAACATTTTTATTTTAATTTGCAATCTGATTGAGTTGCTTGTTTGTATGAAATATGAATACATTTCAGTAATGTGATTTTTTTATTCAGTGATTTCAATTCAGGCTTAACAATTATTCATGTCTTGTTATAATAATATTTTCTATGTCCCTCAGTGTCTCTATAATTATTAATTGCATTTCTTCTCTTAAGAAGAGTTGTCTCTACTCTCTCTTTTTATTTATTTATCAAACTGTTTATGAACTCATGAATATTCATTTTTTATTTCATAGATTATAGTCAAACACAATTGCTATTTATTTGGTCGTATGAATTGTTCCAGCTTCAGCTCTTTCAGTTTAGCCCCTGAGTGCTTTCAACCTACCCCTATCCCTTTTATTCAGCAGTTCAATTTTAATTTTATTTTATTCATGCAGGAGTTATAAGATAATAAGTACAGAAAATATATAAAACTGTATTTACAATGTGATCGCAATTTAATAAGTAATTATTTGTGTGGATAATGTTATAACCCAGTAATTCTCCATCCGCCAGAAGAAGGAACCTCTCCTGGGTTCCTTGAACCCGAGTTGTTTTTGCAAAAACTCTTGAAGAGGAAGGTATGCATCAGCCATGACCACAAGAGTATTGACCATGAGCTTAACTAGTCAGGAGATGCCAGACGGAGCAATGAGACATTCAAGGCTGGGATCTAGTAAATGTTAAGAAATATAAAATAAACAACTTGTACAGCTGCCAACTGCTGATATCCACTTCTGTACACATAGCTGGCTTGCTCTGCTAAACTCTTGAATGACCCCTATCCTATATAAGCAACCCTCCCCCTGAGCTCGGGGCTGCAGTTCTCCTCTGTATAGGTTGGCTGCAGTCCCTGCGCAGGTAATAAAGATCCTAATATTCAAAATTACTTGGTGTCCGAGTGAGGTTGATTCTCCTGGGTTACAACAGATAAATTATATTCCATAATTTAAAGATCTGTTGATTAAAATGTTATACTCGCGCTGGCCGGTTTGGCTCAGCGGTTGGAGCGGCGGCCTGCGGTACACAGAGACCCGGGTTCGGTTCCGCTAAGGGCATGTACCTCGGTTGCAGTTTTTCCCCCGGCCCTGGTTGGTCGTGCAGGTGGCAGCCAATCGATGTGTCCCTTTCACATCGATATTTTCTCTCTCTCTTCCTCTCTCTCCCTCCCACTCTATCTGAACAAAAAAATGGAAAAATGTCCTCGGGTGAGGATAAAAAAAAAAAAATGTTATACTCATTTTTACAATCTAAACTATGTATGTGATTTCAAAGCTGTTATCTCTGAGAATGAGGAAGTATACATTTTATTATGTATACTCTTGTAGTTTTAAATTACTTTCTAACATAAGTTTTGATTTTATAGCAAGAAACAATATTTTAAATGGAAAATAAGTACTAGACTCTGGATAAGGGGCAATCTTTTTCTTCAGTTTGACTTCTTGCATTTGACATATCTATGGGACATTTTAAAAAAATACATAAAAAGTAATATAAAATTAATAGCCAGTAGTTAGTCTCTGTTAACATTTTGATTTCTAATACAAGAAGCTAGGACTTGTTGGAGAGTATTTGATTTTCGAACCAAGGCAAGAAAAGTTTTGATAAGCCTAGAGCAAAATGTGGTACAAAAAGAAAGAAAAAACTCAAATGAAAGAATAACATATGTTGAAAGCATACATTGCGGAAAATTCTACACAACAATAGACTAATGCTCTTTAGAAGTGTCAAAATTATGAGAAGACAGAAGAGCTGTCCCATACTTGGAGAAGATGTCATGAATCCTGGGCTGCAAAACAGAAAAAAAAAAAAAAGTATGTGAAAAGACTTGGAAATCTGAATAAAATTGGTAGTTAATTCAGTAGTATTGTACCAATATTAATCTCTTGGCTTTGATGGCTGTGCATGATGTTAACATTAAACTTGGTCATGATGTAAGATGCTAATATCAGGGGAATTTATGTGAAGGTTACAGGGAACTCTATATTATTTTGTAATTTGGTAATTTTAAAATGAATTTAAAATAAAAAGTTTAGCAAATTTATAAATTGAATTGTGACTTCCTCTTGACCTCTAGGATATTAAAAGAATTTTATTTCCAAATTATTGGTGACCTCCCAGATATCTTGTTATTAATTTCTAGTTTAAATCCATTATGACCAATAGTATACTCTGTATTATGTGTATGTGAAAACTTGAAAAGAATAAGCATTCTGCTGTTGTTGGATTGAATATTTTAAATGTAAACTATGATAAGTTGGTTGACAGTGTGCTAGGTCTTCTATATTCTTAGTGATTTCCTCTATTTTTTGTAATTATTATCAAGAGAAGAGTGGTGAGTTGTCCAACTATAATTTCAGATTTGTCTATTTCTATTTTGAGTTTTATCAGCTTTAGGTTCATATAATGTGAATTCTTGTTTTAGGTACAAAAATTATGTCTTCTTGATGAGTTGACTCCTTTATCTGTATGCAATATTTATCTTTATTCCTGGGTATATTTCTTGCTCTAATTCCTAGTTTGTGCTTGCTAAGATCTTAATAGATCATACATATTCATTTAAGAATGATGGAGATTAATTCAAGAGGCCATGATGTAGGAAGGCAAGCATTGTTGGCTGCCCTGCCAAGATTTGGATCTTACCACATGCTAACGGAAGAAATGCATTCGGTGTGCATACTTTCATACACTATAAAAGCCTATACAAAATATTGTAGATTTAGAAATCATGCTTGTTTATTACAACAGCACTTTGCAGAAAAACATCAGCATCAATAGTGTTAAGTTAGTGAAGAGTGAAGCAATTAGTTCAGAGAAATCTAAATTCATAAATCACCTTATGGGAGCCCCCACACTGTAACCCCATTTTCCCATGGTCTGAGACATGGAAAAAAAAACAAACTTTCATTGAGCAAAACCACTGAGATTTTTATAATTTATCTCTAACAGTGGCTGAAGTTTAATAAATCTATTTTTAAAGAGAAAAAAAATCAATTGGAATTCCCTAAAGGGAGCTAGATAATGGCGACTTGTCAAATACTACTCTGTACAGTATTTTAATCTGTTAGTGGGATGGAGTGGTGAGTGGAGTAAAAAAATAATCTAACTCAGATCTATAAATTGATAATTTTAATAAGCATCTAGCCTTTTTAAAATCTTGTAGCTATGACCAACCCGTAAGGTTACGATGGGAAAAGACCATGTAAAGTTATGCAAAGAATTTAACAAGAGACACATGAATGTCAGGGAAAGTAGGATTACAACTGATTTTAACAGATAAATGCTGAGAGTCAATCTTTAGTCATATCAGTCAATAAATTAAAACTACATGAAAAATTGAAACATGTAATTTTAAGATGTTAAATCAATAGGTTATTTTTAAACTATCAATTGTTAGTCAGTAATAATGAATGAAAGTAAATATGACTCTCAGACTGAATATTAGAGACTATTAAAACACAAGTAAAAGTAGATCCTCTTGTTTTTCCCCTTTAACTACCAGTGCTTTTGGTCTCTTTATGATGTCACCTCTCAACATCACTAATTTGAATTTAAAGTGCTTAGGCCCTGGCAAGTCACAGGTGGGGAAAATGTCTGTACCAAGATTGTAAGTCCTTTTTTTAAATTGTATGTTTTAAAATAAGTGAAATGTTCTGTTTAACTTTACACTTATTCTATTGTAGTTTAAGAGATGTTTGTTACATTATTATTATGCCATTGATAATCAAGCAACATTATAGGTTACTTTGATCCAAGACTTAACTAGTTTATTCATGTCAGTAAATTACAGACATGATTTAGATACATCTTTTTCAATGTGGTTCTTCATTTTTTTTATAAATTGTATTTTGGAACATAAAATTTTTAAATAATTCATGGTTCTCATTCAGGCAACTATCATAAATGACTCCTTAGGGATCATTTGGAAATTTATGGGGATTAAAAAAAAATTACAGTGACCTAAAAGTGCTACTGACCTTTAGAAGGCATGGGTCAGGGGTACCAAACCTTTACTAATAAGTGGGGCAGCCCAAAGAAAACCAACTAAATCCAAATTGTATCCCCCTTGAGAAACATTGAGCATATATAAGTAGTTTGCAATAAAAAGAAGATAATCTAGAATGGGAAGTTTGATGATAGTTATTTCCTGATGCTTCATTTATTTTGTGTTAAAATAAGACAGGGGGAAGAAAAAAAACTGTGAAGACATGAAATAAAGGAAAAGGCATAAATTAAAATATAAAGGAAAGTGTTACTGGGTTTTCTTTGGACAGTATGGTTAATGTGAAGATGAAACACAAATCTTGAATATGTAAATACAAATAAACAAACCAGGCTTCCCCTAGGCACTGGTGCCTACTTCATTATAACATAAAAAACATAGTTCAGTAAAAGGTTTGAATGTATTTGTCATGATTACATTCAAGGCTGAGTGAATTGTTGATTATTACCCAGAATTAACTACTGTTTACTTTAAAATGTTTAAGTACAATATGCCCTGGCCAGTTTGGCTCAGCATTTAGAGCATCGGCCTATGGACTGCAGAGTCCCGGGTTCAGTTCCCGCTGAGGGCATGTACCTTGGTTGCAGTTTGTCCCCGGCCCCAGTTGGGGTTGTGTGGGTGGCAACCAGTCGAGGTGTTTCTCTCACATCAAAGTTTCTCTCTCTCTCTTCCCCCCTCTCTCCCTCCTGCTCTATCTGAAGATAAATGCAAAAATTGTCCTCGGGTGAGGATTAAAAATAAATAAATAAATAAAATGTTTAAGCACAATAAAATATTGCTGGCATTACTGTTATCATGAGCATTGCATGGCTTTCAAAGAACTCCACCATAATGCTTAAAAATTATTTTGCGTTTTATGACTATTCATGTTTTTTTCTGGTGTAAACCCCAAATTCTCATGCTATTGTAGAAGGACAGTATGGTTAAATTCTTAATCAATTGGCCTGATTTTTAGCTAATGAAACACACACAAAATCCTTAATAAAAATTCATATTTTCTTGGGTTCAACTGGCAACTTCCAATCACTTAACTGAAAGGATGAGATGCAGAAAATAATTTTCTACCATGTCTTTCCTCTGATTTCTTCTAACAATGACAGGACCTTAAGTTTAGTCTTATATGCCTTGGTAACAAACCTGTAGTTGACAAAGAACATTATCTTCTTTGAGCTCGGTTTTCCCCACCACTATTCCACTTTAATATCTTCATGCATCCAAATCTCAACAACCCAACTCAAGAGTTTGACCTCTTCTTGCCTTTGCCTCTAACTCAGGTTGTATCAGTCAACTCAATCCTTCCATTCCTAATATTGAATAGTAGGTCTAAGACTTCTGAAGCAAGTGAGAGAGGTTTTCATAAAGATTTTACATCAGATGTAGAGAAAAACTTTTTAAACTTCCAGTGTTAGCTTCCAGATCTCATATCCACTATACATTTATTTTTTTCTCCCTTGAATTGCATTGATAAGAACCTGTCTTACTATCTTGGCCTAGCGATTCACCTTCATATAGAAGGTTTATCAACCTTGGTGCTGTTGACATTTTGGGGAGGATAATTCTTTATTGGCATTGAGAACCAGGGGGGTGCAAGTTGTTCTGCACACTGTAAGATGTTTAGCAGCATCCCTGGTCTCTACCAACTAGATGCCAGTATCAGCATGCAAGTGGGCTAGTTTCCAGTCAATCTGCTCTTCCTTTCTCCCACAAATGGCTTTTAAGTTACCAGAAATAATCTTGTCTGTTCTAAAATCTCATCAATATTAAATCATATAGTATACGTTTTTATGTCTTTGATATGTTCTTTCAGTATATATTTTTTTTGTTTCATCCATATTATGACATTTGCATATATCAGTAATTCATTCCTTTAGATTGTTGGGAAGTATTTCATTACATAGATATACCACAGTTTATGCATTCTCCTATTGATGGATATCTGAGTTACTTTAGTTTGGGGTTATTATGAATAAAGCTGCTACATATATTTTGTCTAATTCTTTTTGTAGACCTCTCTCAGGTCAACTATGAGTAGAAATGCTAGATCATACATAGAATATGTGTAATTTGAACTTTATTTTAAAAATATCAAATGGTATTTCAAAGTGGTTGTGCCATTTTTATACCCACAACCTATGCTGAACATTTCAGATATTCTACAAAGTTGCTGGCTTTTGGTGTCACTTATCTTTCATTTTATCTGCTCTTATGGGTATAAAGGGGATCTTCTAATCAGGATATATTTTTCCCTGAGAAAAAAGTTTTAGTTTTCTTAGACAGGCCTTGTATATATTTCAATAAACTTATCTCTAAATATCTTGATGTTATTGCAAATTAAATTTAAGAAAACAATACATTTTTTTCTAGTTATAGAGATATTATTTATATAACTAGCCCTGGTATAATTTTATTGCATTCACATATGAGCTTTAAATAATATCTGTAGATGTCACTGGATAGTCTATTTACTCAATCAGATCTTTTGTGAATAAACACAATTTTACTTCTTTCCCAATCTTGATGCTTTTATTACCTTATGGAACAAAATAGGTTCTGGATTACAATGCTGAATAGCAGATCAAGCAATCTCACCTTGTTTCTGATTTATACAGGAAAAACAGTCAATAGTCCACCATTACATTTGATTTTAATAGTAAGTATTATCTGAATGCATTTCATTCATTTGAGGAAGATGTCTTCTACTCCCAGTTTTCAATTATGACTGAATGTTACTTTTCATTTCAAAAATTCTTCTACATATTTAATATGATCAGACAAGTTCTTATTCATTTTGTTATTTAGAATGAATACATTGGTTGGGGTATATATGTTAAACCAACCTTACATTCCAGAGTAAAATTCAATGGTCATGATGTATTAGCCATTTTATATACTATTCAGTAAGATTAGTTAATAAATTGTTAAGGAATTTTTGTCTTTGTTAATGCAGTGTACTAGTTAATAATATTCATTTCTGGTAATGCATTTGAGAGGTTTTGGAGTCAGGGTTATTTACATTGGTCTCAAAAAATGAATTAAAATATCTTTCTCCTTTCTCTTGTTTCTGAAAAACTTGTGTACATTATTTTTCCTAATTTTTTTTAAACTTAATTTATAAGTAAAATTGGTCTGGGTTTGTACTTCTTTTTCTGGGAAGGTTTCTGATAATGAATTAAATTTATTTAATAATTATAGACTTATTCACATTTTCTTTATTTCATCATGTGCCCATTTTGGTAAATAAACTGAGTTTTACATGGAGCTCACCTATTTAAGTTGTTGGATTTATTGCCATAGGTTGTAAATGATAATCCTCACTATTCTTTAAAATCTATATAATTATAAAATCTGCATCAACCCTAATATTTGTAATTTGTGTTTCTTCTTTTCTTTCATCAGTTTTTCTGGGATGTAACCAATTTTAATAATCTTTAAAGAAACAAAACTCAAATTCTGGAGTTCCAAATTTGCTTTAATTTTGTTTTCTCTTCTATTGATTTTGACTTATAGCTTTATAATTTCCTCCCTTTAACTTTAGTTTGATATTTTCTTAACTTTAAAACAGAGGTTTAAATATCGATTTTAAACTTTTTTTCTAATATAAGGAATTAAAGCTATAAATTCTACTATATGAGCTGTACCTAGTATAACATAATCTTCAATATAGTTGTTTATTTTGGTTTCTGTTTGACCACAGGTTATTTAGAAGGATCTCTTTACTTTTCAAATATATGTGTTGTTACATGCCACTGAGTTGGCTCAGACTCCTGAAGACTTTTTGAATGAGTGACATCCACAGTGTTCTGTCTTCAACAATGTGCTGCTCAGCTCCTGAACACTCATTCCTGTGGCTTCTCTTATGGAGTCAATCGATCTCATGTTTGGTTTTCCACTTTTCCTGTTGCCTTCTTTTATTCCTAGCATTACTTCCTTTTCCAAAGAACCTTGCCTTCTCATGATGTGCCTGGAGTAAGACAGTTTCAGTTTTGGCATTTTTGCCTCCTGCAATGTTTCAAGCTTTATTTGCTCTAGGACTCACTGGATTGTCTTTCTAGCAATCCAAGGTATCTGTAAGAACTTTCTGCCAACACCATATTTTAAATGAATCAATTTTTCTTCTATCAGCCTTCTTTACTGTCTAATTGCTGTGTATTTTCTACATATTTTTGTTACTGATTTCTAATTCAATTGTTTGGTGATCAAAGAAAATGATCTAGAGATTATACAAAGAATTAATGGGCAATGGCTATATAATATTATTTTAAAATCTCAAATTTAATAATATTGTTTCATAAACCTGAAATATTTCCCTCTTTCGGAGCATTTAGAATGGAGAAATTCATAACTGTGGTTTAACTCTAACATTTCTTTAGCAGCATATAATTATACATGGGTTAGATTCAAACCTAGAGGTTCAAATATAGAGTGGGAAGTAGTTTTAATGCATGTGCTCAGATAAAAAAAAAACAAAACAAACCAGATAATTAGTCAACACTTAATAAATTTTATTAAATTATTTCATTTAAAATGTTTAAAAAGTAATGTTTTAAAATATTCCAGGTTTTATGCTGGTGACTACTGCTTTAATGTAGTTAGCTTTAATGTAGTTATCAAGACACTTTTTAAAAATGTACTTTATTATTAATATTTAACGTCAAAATAAGTAAAACACTGGGTAAGCATATGTATTTGTTTTTGTGTAAGATCATAATCATTCATGACCAATAATAACTCTATTTCTGTAATATAATGGAAATATATAGAATGATATTTCTCTAATTAATCATAATATTTGCCTCTATTACAAATATGTAAAAATTAGACTATAAATATCCTCTTTTGGAGACAAACATGCTCATTTAGTACTAAAATAAATAGAAATTTATCAATGGAAAATACTTTGCAACATAATTTTCTATCTCAGGTTTTCTTAGAAAACAATAATTAAAATCCAGGTCAATACCGTGGGTACATACTGCTTCATAAACACACACATACACACACACACACACACACACACACACACGCATTGAAATGGATTTAGTTAAGTTCTGAAAATATTTCAGATCTGATTTTATTTAAGCATAGTGTTTCCAAAGTGCTCTCTGAATTAAAATTCAATTGCATGGAATTTTGGTGCATGAGATAGAGAACTGAATTCAATCATGGTTTCACAGTTTTTAAAATGTGTGTATTTTAGATATGGAAAGTTGATAAGGGTTTTTTTCTTATACTTTATTCCTGTTGTTTTAGTTTGCTTGAAGTTTGTTCTAAAAACAAACATATTCTCATCTCTGTTTATCTAGGATCAAGTAATCTTACATAATAATAGAGATCTGAGAATGCAAAGTACATATGTCTCCATGGTGGTGGCAAGTGCTTAGGTGTAATAATGATCATTAAATACAGTAATTTTTGTACAAATTAATTAAAATATTTTCCTCTTTCTCTAATAGCCAAAAAATAAACTTTGGGGCACAGGATAATTATATTCCAGGTAAGAACGATTTCAATATATATTTTTAAAAACATGTATGATTGCCCTGGCCGGTTTGGCTCAGCAGTTAGAGTGTCGGCCCGCAGACCAGAGAGCCCCGAGTTCATTCATGCTAAGGGCAAGCACCTCGGATGCAGTTTGTCTCCGGACCCTGGCTGGGGTCATGTGGGTGGCAACTACTCGATCTGTCTCTCTCACATTGATGTTTCTCTCTCTCTTCCTCTCCCCTCCTCCCACTCTATCTGAAGATAAATGCAAAAATGTACTTGGGTGAGGATTAAAAAAAAGTATGATTAATTTTAGGCATACGTGATTATCCTCCATTCAAGGTGATAAAGCAATTGCTATCATGAGATATTATTAAAAGTCAACTTTTTATATTCCAAGGCACCCTTTCCAAGGTCTCACTGAACACCTTAAAGGTATTTTGTTCTAAATCCAAAGATTAAGCAAAAAAAGTGGACAGATTTACATGTTAGAAATCATTCAATCAGATAAAGATAGTGTAGAAATTGGATAAGCAAATTCTCAGCCATGAGAATTAGAAATTTCTACCACATTCCTGATAGATTGTGTCAGGGTTAAAATTGACCAAAAAATTCATTACTTAACAAGGCCAGTCAGCTTTATGTTGAAAGACTTCATACATCAAATAATTTTTCACTTGCATAATGATCTTAAATGTGCCTTTCATGCTGTATATTTCTCATTAATCCTTCTCTGTCTTTAAGAGATTCACAGGACAAGTCTATTTTCACTTACACATAACATTACTGCACACATGCAAATACAGTGATGATATGTCTCTCACTTGCCACATTGGTAACCAAAGTGTCTTTAACTACTCTATTATAGTTTGTAGGTAATTTTTACCCTCCCAATCAGAATTCTGTAGGTAGTCTTTGCCAATTTCTTTGTTGATATGCCACCTATAACAATGCAGTTCTTGGGTATATAACATTTACTTTTGTTACTTGGAAAATGGTTACTAACTAAGGAGATATAAAGCTGTGAGTTTCAACCTTTTCCATCTCATGGCACACATAAGCTAATTACTAAAATTCTGCAGCATATCGAAAATATATTTTTTGCTGATCTCACAAAAAAATAGGTATAATTTTGATTCATTCACACTGAACAGCTATAGTTGTGTTGGCTGTTGTCATTTTTTTTATTTGACAATCTAAGTAAGAAGAGGTCAGTGGCCCTGACCATATAGTCAGGTACTGCATGTTTTAAGATTTCTTGTGGCACACCAGTTGAAAATTAATGATATAAGGATTTAGCATTTAGATTTAATTACATATTTATTGAGAATTTTATAACACTAATTATAATTACTGCACTAATTACTTTGAAGGCTACAGAAGTAGTTACCATATTTTCTGTCCTCAGTAGAATTTTATTCTAACCAAAAGAGTATAAAGCCATCTAGACTGGATTAGATACAAAGTCTAAAATGAAGCAGTAAAATTGTTTCTTTCCATTTATCTTACAGACTGTATCAGTTTCATAGTCAATACTTTATGTAGTTTTATGTAAAAGTGAGAAAAATAGAAAATTTGATTTTTATTTTCTCATATTAATAGCAGAAAATTTCAAACATTACCGAATAAATGAAGACATGATTTTAATTATTTGTTTCTTCATTTACATAAAATATAATCCCTTATTAGTTTTGGTGAAATGCTCTTTGAAGTATATGTTTAATGTTTTCTTATTTTAGTCAGTGAATTAAGCAAAAAATCATGGAATCAGCAACACTTTGCCCTGGCATTTCCCAAACCACCGCGGCCAGGAAGAAAACAAAGATCAAGACCCTCCCAATTACGAGATAATACAGTTCTTGTGAGTATTAAAAAGATCATATAATTTTACTAGTAATCAATTATGAAATCATGTATAGTTATATGTCTTATAGATCATCACCGACTAATGAGATTTTTGTGATGATGGAAATATTTTATATCTTTGCATTCTTATGTGTCTATTGAACATTTCAAATGAGGTTAGTGCAACTGAAGAACTAAATTTTACATTTCAATTCAATTCAACTCACAAGTGGCTTTTAAAGGTCATTAAACAGTACAGTAAAAGGTAATTCAAATTCTACTACTCAGAGAAAGTAGATATATTTTATTTGCATTTCTCTGTATAAAAATTTCCCCCTTATTTCATATTGTTCAGTAAACCTACATTCTGGAAAATATGTATCCAAAAGGACAGAAATCTGTAGATCCTAACATTACAGTTAGTATGAAAATTTGAAAAATATTCCCCAGCTGGAAAAATCCCCTCTTTAGAATTATTATACTCTGATGAAGTTTCAATGCTTACTCATTTCCTGTAATAGAATTCAAGATTCTGAATTTTGAAAGATAATATTTCCCAAGGTTTCTGGAGTCATCATAGGATATAAAAATGTTGAGAGAAAAGCTTTTTACAAGATAAATATATCATCAACTCTTATTTACTTTAGGAAATGTATCCCATCTGTAGTGATCCAGGTTTCTTCTGTCCCCTCATGTTTCTTTTCTTTCTTTATTCAATTTATTTTTCCATTGTTTGTTAACATTCCTTCCAATATTTGCTATTTTTGCAATTAAGTTTTTACAAATATTTGGTTGCAAGTTGAAAACAAAATGAACCATTCTGCCCAAATTAATGTACACAATGTTACAGCTTTCATTGTTGTAGTTTCCCATCTGATGATACTCAGTATATATTTTGCCATACAGGAGGCATTTCAGGCTTTTACATTTAACCACAGTTAACACTGTAAATTGCAGAGATCTTGTATAACAATAGAGACCAGGATCTGCCTGAATATAAAACTATTAATACCAGAAAATAATTAGTTTTTTAATTAGCCTAGAAATGGAGGCTAGGCAAGATATTTCAAGAATCTCAAACACAGAGACAAAGAACAAACAAGCTCTCTCTTGCTTGTAAAGCGAGGTTCTGATATGTCATTAGTAAGTGAATGTCTGTACCAATTTTAACATATAGTCTTGCAGAAGTTATAAAGATACTCTAAATTAAAATTAGATCCCAAATGGGACATGATTATTCATTAGTTCAACAAAGGAATAAAATTTAAAAAGCAAAATAAACTATAAAATCTACACTTTATTTGATATTTATTAAAATCTAAAATCTTTTCATGGTTGAAGTTAAATGTATTTGGTATCTGGTAATAAAGGTTGTGTATCTCATACAAGTTATTTATCATTATTCTAAACAATATTTCAGAAATATGATGAAAACAAAATAAAGGGAAGTTCTAAACGACCATTATGGATGCACCGTTCTTTAATGCAAATTTCTGAAAGTCCATCTGTTTATTTAGCGGCCAGGAGAAAGCCAACAAATGTAGAGAAACCTTTATCTACAGCGATAGGTAAAACAGTTAAAGAAAGCAAAGATCAATTTGATTCAGAAACAGAATCCACCATTTCACTGGAATCAAAATCAATTAAGAAAGATTCAAAAATAAAAACAAAAGACAGAGCAAAATCAGTTGACAAAAAAGATGAGAAAGGCTTAAAGAAGGACAAGGAGTTGGGTACAGAATCAGAAGAAGAAAAGGGAGACACAAAGAAAGATGCAAAAATAAGCAAGAAAAGTTTAAAGAAGGGCAAGGGATCAGGTACAGAATCAGAAGACGAAAAGGAAGACAAAAAGAAAGATAAGAAAGGTTCAAAGAAGGGCAAGGAGTCAGGTACAGAATCAGAAGAGGAAAAGGGAGACAAAAAGAAAGATAAGAAAGGTTCAAAGAAGGGCAAGGGGTCAGGTACAGAATCAGAAGAGGAAAAGGGAGACAAAAAGAAAGATAAGAAAGGTTCAAAGAAGGACAAGGACAAAGGGGCAGCTGCAGAATCCGAAGAGGAAAAGGGAGACACAAAGAAAGATGAGAAAAAAGATAAGAAAGGTTCAAAGAAGGACAAGGACAAAGGGGCAGCTGCAGAATCTGAAGAGGAAAAGGGAGACACAAAGAAAGATAAAAAAAAAGATAAGAAAGGTTCAAAGAAGGACAAGGACAAAGGGGCAGCTGCAGAATCTGAAGAGGAAAAGGGAGACACAAAGAAAGATCAGAAAAAAGATAAGAAGGGATTAAAGAAGGACAAGGACAAAGGGGCAGCTGCAGAAACAGAAGAGGAAACGGGAGACACAAAGAAAGATAAAAAAAAAGATAAGAAAGGTTCAAAGGACAAAGGAGCAGCTGCAGAATCAGAGGAAGAAAAAGGAGAAACAAAGAAAAGTTCCCCAAAAGACAAAGGCTCAAAGGACAAGGAGTTAGCTGCAGAATCTGGAGACAAAAAAAAGGATGCAAAGAAGGATAAGGAAGGAAAAAAGAAACCCAATGAAAAAGGTGATGAATCAAAGGACAAGAAAGACGCCAAGAAAGATGCTAAGAAATCTCCCAAGTCAGACACTGACCTAGAATCTGCTGATGCAAAGAAAGATGCAAAGAAAGATGCAAAGAAGGATAAAAAGAAAGGCAAGTAGGCCTTAGATAATAATTCAAAAGCATATTTGCTGAAAGTTTTATTCGTCTGAATCTGAATTTATGACTGAAAAGGGAGGTTCAAATAATTAATAAAATACTTTTAAAAATGGGTAAAGAACAATACAAAGAAAGACTTACAAAATCTTCATAAAAATATAAGAAAGATGTTAAGAAAAAAATAATAGATGATTCACTGAAGGACTTGAAGGATGTATATGCTAAATTTGGAGATATGAAGGATTAAAGGAAAGATCCCTAGAAAGATTCAAATAATATACCAGTAAGGATGTAGAAGTTAATGATAGTGAATCAACGAATATGCAAAAGAAAAAAATCAATGAAGGCTTTGATACAATTCAAGAAAGAAAATGTCGAATCCATAGATTCAAACAACAGATTTAAATGAAGAACCATAGGGGTCAAGGGAGGAATCAAACAAATTTCAGAAAGTCTACTTTTAAATAAAAACATATACCATTAAAGGTAGCATTCTTCAAAAAAAAGAAGAAGAAAAAAATATTATTACTTTCTTCTGAAACTATATCACCATCCCTGAAGTGAAAATAGCTACAACCAGGTTCATGGATGCTGAATGTTCCGATTCCAAGACAAGTTAAACACATTTGGTAAGTTAGTTTTATTTTATTTTAAGCTACATTGGGTTAAACAATTGAACTAATTTATAGGTTTTAATTGACACCATTTTTATTAATTAATTTATTTTTGTTACAGATGGTTCTCCTTTTTCCCCAATGACACCCTCTTCCGGATCCCGCCCCACCCCTGCAGCATAGTTGTCTATGTCCATTGGTTATGCATACATGCATAAAAGTTCTGTGGTTTATCTCTTCCCTTCCCTCATCCCCCTCTTCTGTGGTTTGTCAGTCTCTATAACACATCCATGTCTCCAGTACCATTCTGTTCATCAGTTTGTTTTGTTCATTCAATTCCACAAATAAGTGAGATCATGTAATATTTGTCTTTCTCTGATTGGCTTATTTAGCTTAGCATAATACTCTCCAGGTCCTTCCATGTTGTCTCAAAGGATAAGAGATCTTTCTTACAGCTGCATAATATTCCATTGTGTATATGTACCACTGCTTTTTTATCCACTCATCTATTGATGGACACTTGGACTGTTTCCAGATCTTAGCAATTGTATATAGTGTTGCTATAGACATAGGGGTACATATATTCTTTCTGATTGGTGTTTCAGGTTTCTTACTATATAGTGCAAGTGGGATCACTGGATCAAATGGCAGTTCAATTTTTAATTTTTTGAGGAAACACCATACTGTTTTCCATAGTGGCTGCAACAGTCTGCATTCCCACCAGCAGTGTACTAAAGTCCTTGCCCACACCCTCGCCAGCATTTGTTGTTTGATGATTTGTTGATGGCAGTCTGTTTAGGTCCTCTGCCCATTTTTTAATTGGGTCCTTTGTCTTCCTTTTGTTGAGTTGTATGAGTACTCTATATATTTTGGAAATTAACCTCTTATATGATGTATGGTTGGTAATTGTGGTCTCCCATATAGTAGGTTCCCTTTCCATTTTGATGCTTCTTTTGCTGTGCATAAGCTTTTTAGTTTTATGTAGTTCCATGTATTCATTTTTTCCCTTTGTTTCTCTTGCTTTAGGCATTGTATCAGTGAAAATTCTGCTTCATGTGATGTCTGAAATTTTGTTCACATTTTCTTCTAGGATTTTTATGGATTCACAAGTCACATTTCAGTCTTTAATCCATTTTGAGTTTATTCTTGCATATGGCGTAATTTGGTGGTCTATGTTAATTTTTTTGCATATAGCTGTTCAATTTTCCCAACACCATTTATTAAAGAGGCTGTCTTTACTCCAGTTTATGTTCTTGCCACCTTTGTCAAATATCAATTGAGCATAATGTCTTGGGTCAATTTCTTGATTCTTTGTCCTGTTCAATTGATCTATATGCCTGTTCTTGTGCCAGTACCAGGTTATTTTAATTATAATGGCTTTCTAATATAACCTGGTATCTAGTATTGTGATCCCTTCTATTTTGTTCTTTTTCAAGATTGCTGTGGCTATTCTTTTTTGGTTCCATATAAAATTTTGGAGTGTTTGATCTAGTTCCATAAAAAGTGATGTTGGTATTTTAATGGGGATTGCATTGAATCTACAGGTTGTTTTGGGTAGAATGGACATTTTATTTATTTATTTAATCCTCACTTGAGGATTTTTTTTTTAATTTTTAAAAAAATTTTTTATTTATCTTCAGACAGAGCTGGAGAGGCGAGGGAGAGAGTGAGAAACATTGATGAAAGGGAGACATCAACTGGTTTCCACCCACATGACCCCAACCAGGGCCGGGGACAAACTGCAACCGAGGTATGTGCCCTTAGCAGGAACTGAACCCAGGACTCGCTGGTCTGTGGGCCGACGCTCTAACCACTGAACCAAACCAGCTAGGGCTAGAATGGACATTTTAATGATGCTGATTCTTCCAATCCATGAACAAGGTATGTGATTCCACTTTTTTATATCTTCCTCTATTACTTTTTTCAACATCCTGTGGTTTTCTGAGAACAGGTCTTTTACTTCTTTGGTTAAGTTTTTTTATTGCTGCAATGGTAAATGGGATTTTTAAAATTTCTCTTTCTGTGAGTTCATTGTTGGTGTACAAGAATGCCATCAATTTCTTGACATTAATTTTGTATCCTGCTACGTTGCCAAATTCATTTATTAGCTCTAGTGGGTTTTTGATGGAGTCTTTAGAGTTTTCTATGTACAATATCATGTCATCTGCGAATAATGACAGTTTCACTTCCTCCCTTCCAACTTGGATCCCTTTTATTTTTCCTTGTCTAATTGCTGTGGCTAAGACTTCCAGTACTATGTTAAATAAGAGTGGCGAAAGTGGGCATCCCTGTCCTGTTCCTGTTCTTAAAAGAAATGCTTTTAGTTTTTGCACACTGAGTATGATGTTGGCTATAGGTTTTTCTTATATGGACTTTATTATATTGAGATATGATGCCTCTATTCCCACATTGCTAAGCATTTTTATCAGAAATGGGATCTGGATTTTGTCCAATGCTTTTTCAGCATCTATTGATATGATCATATGGTTTTTATCTTTCATTTTATGTGGTGTATCACATTTATTGATTTGTGGTAATTGTACCAGCCTTGCATACCTGGGATGAATCTCACTTGGTCATGATGAATAATTGTTTTGGAGTATTGCTGGATCCAATTTGCTAATATTTTGTTGAGGATTTTGGCATCTGTGTTCAACACAGTAGTTTTCTTTCTTTGTAGTGTCTTTATCTGGTTTTGGAATTAGAATTATGCTCGCCTCATAAAATAAGTTTGGAAGTCTTCCTTCTTTTTGGATTTTTTTTTGGAACAGTTTGAGGAGAATGGGTGTTAGATCTTCTCTAAATGTTCAGTAAAACTCCCCCGTAAAGCTGTCTGGTCCTTGGCTTTTGTTTGCTGGGAGTTTCTTGATTACATCTTCAATTTCCTTAATTGTTATTGGTCCGTTCAAGTTTTCTCTCTCTTCCCTGTTCAGTTTTGAGAGACAGTGTTTGTAGAAATTTGTCCATTTCACCTACATTGTCCAATTTGTTGACGTATAATTGTTCATAATATTTTTTAATGATCCTTTGTATTTCTGTGATGTCAGTTGTTAATTCTCTTCCTTCATTTCCTTTCTTTTTTTTTTTTTTAATTTTGGTCCTCTCTTTTTGTTTTTGGTGAATCTGGCTAAGGGTCCATAAGTTTTGTTTATCTTTTCAAAGAACCAGCTCTTTGTTTCACTGATCTTTTGAATTGTTTTTTTAGTTTGTATATCATTTATTTCTGCTCTGACCTTAACTATTTCTTTCCTTCTACTTGCCCTGGGTTTTTCTTTTTGTTTACTTTCTAGTTCTTTATGTTGTCAGGTCAGATAGTCAATTAGACATTTTTCTTGTTTCTTGAGGTAGGTCTGTAGTGCTATAAACTTCCCTCTCAGGACGGCTTTCACTGTGTCCCATAGATTTTTGTTGTTGTGTGCTCATTTTAATTGGTTTCCAGGAATTTTTAAATGTCTTCCTTGATCTCCTTGATGACCCATTCATTGTTTAATAACATGTTATTTAACCTCCATGTGTTTGAACATTTTTGCATGTTTTTGTTGTAATTGATTTCTAGTTTCATGCAATTGTGATCTGAGATGCTTGATAGGATTTCAATCTTCTTGAATTTGTAAAGACTTAGTTTGTGTCCTAACATGTGGTCTATCTTTGAGAATGTCCATATGCACTTAGAAGAATGTAAACTCTGCAGTTTTGCAGTGTAATTCTCTATAGATATCCATTAAATCCATTTATTTGATATAGTGCATCATTTAGAGACTGTTTCCTTGTTAATTTTTTGTCTAGAGGATCTATCTAGTGATGTCAGAAGGGGTGTTGAAGTCCCCTGCTATGATTGTATTGCTGTCAATTTCTCCTTTGAAGTCCTCCAGAAGTTTTTTAATGTATTTTGGTGCTCCTATGTTGATGCATATATGTTTACCAAGGTTATATTCTCCTGTTGAATAGATCCTTTCAATACCACACAGTGGCCCTCTTTGTCTCTAGTTATGGCCTTCATTTTGAAGTCTAATTTATCAGATCTGAGTATTGCTACCCCAGCTTTTATTCTTTTCAGTTTGCCTAGAAAATTTTTTTCTATGCCTTTACTTTCAACCTATGTGAGTCTTTTGTTGTGAGGTGGGTCTCTTATAAACTATATGTGTGTGTGTGTGTGTGTGTGTGTGTGTGTGTGTATATATATATATATATATATATATATATATATATATATCATGCTTTCTTATCCATTCAACTACTCTGTTTGTTTACTTGTTTTTATTGGAGTGTTTATTGTGTTTACATTTAAGATTATTATTGATATGGACATATTTATTGCCATTTTTGTTTATTGTGGCTCTTTCTAAGTCTTCTACTAATTATAGTAGACCTCTTAATATTTTTTGCAG